TTTTTCAGTACCACGTCTTACAGTTAAATTTCCTATACTTATCTCTTTTTTTTTTTTTTTTTTTTTTTTTTTTCAGACTTCACAGAAATCATGATAATTTTCCTTAATACTCAAGAAGGCTGATGGAAAAAATGTTACTCAGATCGGGACCCAGTGAGGGTCTCCTCTGCTCTGGCGGTAGAATCAGGTTCCACCGCAGCCTCGCGGCTCCTGGACGCCAGACCCGGGCCCACTTCCACCCATCCTTTCCAAGGCGCGGGAGACGGAAACGCCCAGGACCCGGCGCCTCTTGGGAAGTGGAGTCTGGAGTGGGTCAGACTCGTCGCGCAGCCTCCCCCGCGGGACCATGGGAGTCCTGCTGCGCCTGCGTGCAGCTGCACACGCCTCCGCACACACATACACCTACCCCAAGCGGCTGGCTTCTGTGGCCCGGCGAAGCCTCTGAGATCGCTGTGGGTGAGAGCATGGGGTGCGGCCGGGAGGGGCGCGCTCATGCAGGACGGGGAGCGGGGCGGTGGCGAGTGAAGGAGCGTAGAGCTCCCGGGTTTCTCCGCACCCGGCTTCTGCGAATGTGCTGCACTGGGGGCGCCCTTGGCCAGCAGAGGGACCCCACCGCTTGTGTCCCCGCCTCCCTCGGAGAGGACACTTGGGTGGACCCGGCCAAGGTCGGGGGTCTGGGCCCTCCCTCGGGCGGGTGCTAGCATTGGCTGAGGTTCGAGCTGCTGACCCCCACCTGGTGCCCGTGGGTGGGGCTCTGGGAAGATCTCACGTTCTGGACCCTTAAAGATACAGAGCAATCCCCCCTCGGACATTTGAGTAGATGACCTGGTAAGAGTCCGGGTTCTCCTTAGGTTTTTAATAATGACGACTTGGTGGGCTGGTTTTGAAGCTGAGATATGCCATCCCCTGTAGAGCCGTCAGCCAAGGGCAGGTTACCAACCCCTGAGGAAGTGACACCTGCTAGTATATTTAGCAGACACCTTGTGCTTTCAGTTGCAAAACTTACATAAACCTCACATTACTCTATGAAGTTGGCTTATCCCTCCGCACTAAAATTAACAGTGGGTCAGACAGGTGTGCTCAGGTCACAAGCCAGTGTGAAGGAGCTCTGATTCAAGGTCAGGTGTGATTTGCTTCCAGTCTCAGGTATTAATATCACACCTGCCTAAAACCACTATTGTATCCTTCATAACACTAACCAGAGTGACCTGTCTCCAACTGCATGGGGATAGAATGGGAAAGGAATGTAGGTGTGAACCTAACATGAGTCACATATGCACAGGGATAACTAGGGTCTCTTCAGATCCCCTGACTTTAGATCCCTTGGCTCCTTCTGCACTGTCTCAGGCTGTTTTGGGGCAGATGTTATAATGAACTCCAGAAGTCAAGTTTTTGCCTCTACGATGAATTTTTCAGTTCCAGGTCCCAATTCCTTGAAACAAAGCAGCTCTTTGTGAAGTACGAAGCAGGGTCTTTTGTGCAAGGAGCTGTGGCTGGAAGAGAACATCTCTCTGGCCTTAGACCTCTTTGTGACATCCCATGCAGAGTGAAGAGCCCATACTTGCGTGGTTGGAAGCTGCCCTTGATCCTTCTGCCCAGGATGAGCTATATTTGGTGACAGTGCCCCCTCCAGAAGCCACCACAAATTACAACAGTAGAGAGTTGGGGTTAGCTTTGAGATTTGCAAGGTGAGCTAGGGAGGTTTGGTGACTGGTTGCCCAGGAAAGACAACTTCATCGCAGAGCTCAGAGGGAGGTGTGCAGGCAAGGGTTGAGCAGGCAGGTGGGAACCCTGTTACTCTGCTGTTGCTAGGCAGCTCCAGGCCCTTTGCCCTCCAGACCATTGCACTACTCTCGCAGATGTCCATCACTGCATGGCACAGAGGGATTTGATGCTGGTGTAGTCACAGGATCCCAGAATGATAATGCACATAAAGTTCTGCAAAGTTACCTATTTGTGACTGGAAAGTTGAAAAACTTTGATGGAAAGGTTCAGGGAATTCCAGAGGGATACACAGATAGTGACAGCGTCAGGAGGAAAGAACAGTGACCTCACTCTCACAGCTGAGTCACCGAGAGCATCTTATCAACAGGGCTTTTTGAGAAATACTGTCAGTTAAAACAAACAAAAATCTTTTCCTTAAAGCCTCATCTCTGTTCTTAGGCTTCTGTGGATTGTACCAAGGGGTAAACTACACTAGGAGAAACAGATGAATGATTCATATGGAATATTTTTCTGCTAAGTTAATTTTAATGAGTGTAGTTCTTGATGCTTTAGTATATATTATTTGAACTAATCCTTTGTTTTTATTTCTTTATCTTTGTTAGCAGGACATGTGCATTATTAAGTAAATCTGAGAAGTTTATGTTCATTTAATTAAAAAACTGCAGGTTTCTCCCCCATGATTATTTCAGAGTTGCATAAGACAGGTGGTGCCATCTGTACCCAATCTTTCTCATCCCTTCCCAAGGCCTGAACGTCTCTTCCTTAAGTGGCCCGACTCCCCAGATTACTTGGTGAGATTTGGGGAAGTAAATGTGGGAGCTCTGAGGCGGGCAGATCTCGTGACCCGGACCTTTTTCTGTCCCCCCAGCTGAGCCTTCATAGCTCTCTACCCTGTGCCAAGAGCCACAGAACATGAACACAGCTCAGGTGAGTTCTCTTCATTCCCCACATCCATGGATTTGGGAGCTGGGAGGGTCTATGCATTAAATGGAAAAGGGGAAATCAAAATAGATCAAATCACTTTTGAAGGTAAATACAGTTTTATCATAAACTACCACACAGAGAACATTATCAGGGTAAGTAGAGTCCCTCCAGTTAAACTGTTTGCTAACATATTTGGCCATGAATGTGCATTGATGAATACTTTTTTATATCTTCTGGTATAAAACTATAGCTGTTTTCTTTATTATAAATAATGTACTGGACTTTGTAATATTGCCTTGAAATATTGCCTTGAATTGTGACATAGACCCTAGTTGCTAATACGTGTGAAGAATTGTTTTTTACATATTTTCCTAAGAGTTTTTGCTAATACATTAGGACCTAATTTCTTTTTAAAAATAATTAACTAACTTATTTATTTACGTTTGGTTTTTTGAGGCAGTGTCTCCCTTTGTAGCTCAAGCTCTCCCTGAACTCTATATAGTCCATGCTGAGTGATCCTCCTGCCTCAGTGTCCCAAGTTCTGGAATTACAGACACATGCCACCACACCCAGTGAGGGTTTAATTTCTGCACTCACAAATTGGAATAGACTATTCTTTTTTGTTCCCCTGCCTTATTATGTTATCATGGTTATATTCTCGTAGTAAGGGGACAATTTTGTGCTCCTTTTCTAATTTAAAAAATGAGAACATTTTGTTACATAGTATATACATTGTATGAAATTCACCTTACAAGGACTCTCTCTGTGGAGATTTTGATTATTGAATCAGTGTGTTAGTCAGCTTATTAGTCAGTATATCGATCCTGTAGTAGATTTGTGTTATATCAGTATAGTTTTCATCACTACAATTTTATAGAAAATATTTCATTCTTATATTTTAAATAAGTATTCTCACAAGCTTTTCAATAGTATGCTCTTAGAATTTCAGAGGCTTACTTCTGCTATATCAGTAATGCCTTTTTTGTCCATCTTTTAAATGTTGGTCTGGTGTAAAAGTTGCTGAACAGAAAATACTGTAGTTAGTCATAGAATTTTAGAGTCTAAAGACCTGTGCAGTTTTTGCTGGCAGAGTTCTCTAAATATTGGAAGTAGATGAACATACACTTGCCGTATTTGTGCTTTCTGGTTTAGACACCTGTCAGCACAATTTGTGGAAAGCAGTGTACTTTTTCCCCTGAATTACTTTGGTACTACTGGGACATGAATTAACTGCATGGGTCTATATTTGGACTCTGTTTATTGGTGACGATTTGAGTTTATCATTTTGCTAATACCACACTGCTCTCTCTACAGTAAAGTCTCTCTACAATAAGTCTTGAAATTAGGTAGTGTGTTTGTCAATTTTGTTCCTCTTTAACAATTGACGTGGCTATTCTAAATCTTTTACTGTTTTGTGCGGTTTTTTAAAAACCATTTATATGTCTTGAAAAAGCTCACTGAGATTTTGATTTTGATTGCGGTGAACCTGTTGAGTCTACTCTAGAGTATAAATCCGTTTTGGGAGAATTAGCGTCTTGATCGTATTGGATGTTCCAGTTTGTGAACGCTGTATAGTGTTTCAGTGCCACGAAAGTATTTGAGGTGAGAGATGGTAGTTGTACAGGTAACCCTTAAAAGAATCACTTTTTTTCTTTTCTTTACTGGAGATTGAAACCAAAGAAGCTCTGCCACTGAGCTACACCCCCAGTTTATCTTTCTTTTTCATTTTGAGACAGACTCTTGCTAAGTTGCCCAGCCTGGCCTCAAAACTGTGATCCTCCTGCCTCGATCTGCTGATTACTTGGGATTACCATTGTTTACTACTGTCTTTGGCTATTCAGTTACTGTTGCTAGACTCTAGCGAGGTAGTGATGGAAGCAGGAACAATAGAGAAGGCTATTTGAGTAATCCAAGGCAAGAAATGATACAAGCCTGTTAGCAATTACTTTGTAGCCATTAGATTTTGGATATATTTTAAGACACAGACAGCATTATGAGAGATTATTTCCTAATATCCTGTTTAAAGAAACCTTGTAAAAAGAATAGGCTTGCAAAAAGAATATACTCAGACCTTTGAAATTTTAACAATGTGATTAAACGATTTCTGTTTACTTTTACAAGCTTTTCTCATGGGTGAAGTAGAATGTGTGTGTGTGTGTGTGTGTGTGTGTGTGTGTGTGTGTGTGTGTGGCTTATTTGTATTTTTTAAATAGAACTATTTATCCCTTACCCCTCTCACGTTGATGTGCAAGTCTTTTAAATATCCTACCCAGTACATCTTTATAGGTCTCTTACTGTCAGATTGTACTATTTTCTAGGGTTTTTTTCTTCTTACTTTTAAGCACAAAGACATTTGATTTTTGTGTCCCCAAATTTTAGCAATTTTTCTTTCCTTTATGATTTCTGGATTCTGACTCTTTGTTGGGTTCTTCCCACTCTAACACTGTAAAATAATTGTTCCCTGTAGTCTTTACAGACGTGACTGGTGATTGTGCATTTCATAATGGATCTTGAATATCTTTTTAAAAAAATCCTGCTTGTCTTAGTTATTTTTATTGTTGCTGAGACAAAATATCTGACACCCAAAGTTAAAGAAGGAAAGGTTTATTTTGGCCCATAGTTTATAAAGATTTCAGTCCATAATCAGCTGGTTCCAAGGCAGAGGAGCATCACACACCAGGCAGGAAACAGCAGAAGATAAGCAGAAGCAGAAGCACACTTTTTTCTGTCCCTTAAACTCCATCCAGTCTATGTACCTTTTGGGCAGGTAGCACTCACAGCCAGGGTGGGGCACCCTTAATTTCAGCGTCACATCCTTAATCCCAGCATCATACACGCTAAATTCAGCCACCTCCGCAAAGCTCCACCTATGACCACATGAGGCTGTTGGGGGACATCTAGTTAATAAGCTATAATACTGCCTTTTGGTATAGATCTGCCTTTCCCCAAATGGCTGTGTCATCAACCTTATGATAGCTGTGTCCCGCCTTTCCGCACTCATTTACATGTTACTTGTGTTCAGATAGGAAATCATAGGTATTTGTGTCTAGTTAGAACTTTCTCTTCTGTTCTCTAAATCAGTACATTTTATCATGTATGAAGATCATACTGATTTAATTATTGAGACCTTATAAAAGATTAAAATGTCCATTAGGACAGCTCCATAAATTTGCTGTTATTTAATACTTTCCACCGATATTTTCATGTTTACTTTTCCCTAGGAATTTTTGAGCCAAGAGAAGGAAAATGAATCAATACACACATAAAAGTTTAACATGATGAGGTTAGTCACTAGAAAATAGAATGTTTCTTAATTTAGTAAATAGTATATTTTAACAAAAACCTTATTCTAATGTTTTCTTTTATAACTTAATGTTGAAAACTTTTCCCCAGATATTGAAAATATTGTATTAGAAATCTTGACCAGTGGTACAGAGAAGAAAAAAGAAATGAAAGTACAAAGGTTGGAAATGAAGAACTAGAACTCTCATGTTTCTTAGAGCTGCCAGGATGGCATATATAGAAAATCCAGAAGAATTTACAAATAAACTATTAGAACTGACAAAAAACATTGGCAATTAGCTAGTTACAGAGCCAGTGTAAAATAATAGAATATGTATTTATATCCCGTGACATAATCATGAAATTTTATATTTTGTTATCATCTACTGGATCATCATAAAGCTTCAAATACAAGCATAGTTCTGGTGCTTCTCCCCTTGACAGTCCTGTGCTCCTCACACACTTCCCCTGATCTTAGTATAGCACTCTTCTCGTGAGGATTTCCTGCAGGAGTCCTTCCTACAGTGAGGGACCTTCCCCGCGTCTTCAGTTGCGTACTCTAGCCCTGGCACACTTTGATTCTACATCGTATTCAGTTTGAAACTTGGTCTACCTGTTACCTGTCCTCTCTTCAGTGCCCTGTCCCCTTGCCCACTTTTGTGTTTACGTTAGATCATGGGCAATATTGCCCTGCTTTTCTCGGCTAATACTGGCTTACCCTCTATCTTCCAGACTCTTCATAGTCTCTACTTTCTTTTTCTGAGAAGCTTGCCTCTGTTCCTGTGTTGTTTCACATTTACAGTAGGTGTTATATTTGAACTACATGTGTTTCAGGAGCAAGGGCGTAGAAATGTTTGTGTTCAGTTTGTTATCTTGAAACAGAAGAATCTGTGCCTGCATTTCTGTTTTCTCTTAATTTCCAGTAGTCTGTCTGATTTGTTTCTGTCGTTTAGAAATTCTTCACCTTCCTGTCCTGTTCTTTTCTGCCACCCCTTAAGTATTGCTACTCCCTTGAATTCGGTGCTTGTTCCTTTTTTCCTCAGTTTCCCTGTTCTGTCTTAAGAAGGTCTTCTTCTCTGATGACCTGAGTGACCATCCTAATGACTGCTATTTCCTAGATCTTTTAGCTCTCTTTTTTTCTATCCCAAAATGATGAAACCAAAAGTGGGGTAGATGAGTGCACAAGTTTTGAAGGCAATTGAAGAATACTTGCTGTGACCCTGTGCCCAGCCCTTTCCTCTCACTTTCTTTTCCCATCTCCATGTGTGGTGTAGTAGCTACCCAGCTGCTCACACAGCTTCCTTGTGTCTGGCCACACTAGAAGGTGATGACCAGAGTTTGTTTCCTGCAAGGAGGAGCTTCCCATTCTTCTCCTTTGCTGCACCTTAATATACATCAGGTCTTTGATTTGGCTGCTGACATCCGGTATTCATACAGAATAGTGGCTCCTAACGGGGTCAGTTTTGCTCCCTAGGATACATCTGCTAGCCTTTGGAGATAGTTTCGGTTCTCACAACTGAACACGTTAACTGGCATCTAAAGGACAGAAAACAGGGGCTGGGGATTTAGCTCAGCAGCAAAGTGCCTGCCTGGCAAGTGCAAGGTCATGAGTTCGGTTCCTGGTACCAGAGAAAAACCAAAAAAATATATATATATAAAGGACAGAAAACAGGGACACTGCTGTTAAACATGATAAAATGCAGAGGATAGTCTTTGACCAAAAGCAGCTATCTGTTCTATAGTGGCAGAGATGCCACACTGAACAAACTCTGTCTGTTCTAGTATGCTCCTCCTGGAGGTAAATCAGGTGTGTGTGGTACTCTCAGACTTACATTAACCCAGCAGTGATCTCCAGGTTGCAGTGTATGCTTGAGAAATGTGTGCTGGAATCCTATTTTTAATAATTCCACCTAAGAAAACAAGGCATTAATTAAGCTTCCTCAGTATGTTAAATGATAATGCCTATGTATGATGCAAAAAATGAATTATTCAGAGTATGCAAATATCTGTTCTAGTTTTGTATCTCCAAAGTGTAAGACAGAATGAGGGCCATGATGAGCATCCTTTGTAGCATTTTATTTTAATCTCCCAGCAGTGAACATAGTAAGAATTACCAAAAATATTTTGTCTCTGATTGAGCAATGAGATTGATGAGAAATATGTATTACAGGTGTCAGTGTCATTGGAGGACGTGACTGTGGAGCTCAGCCAGGAGGAGTGGCAGCACATGGGCCCTGCCCAGAGGACCCTGTACAGAGATGTGATGCTGGAGATCTACAGCCACCTCGTCTGTGTAGGTGAGCAGACCCGAGCACATGACTCCTCCACAGTACAATTCTGTTGTTTCCTTTTTCCTGTTTTAATACTGATCATTTCTGTTATGGTGTGTTTAATAGAAATTAAAATTGAGCATCTTTCAGTGTATAAATCAGTGAGTTTTAGAAAATTCATCCCCTTGGTTACAACCTTCAAAATCAAGAACTGGGATATTTCACCCCTGAAAGATTCTCTGTAGCCCTTCCATTGACTCTTCTCCTTGGGGCAGCCCTTTCTATTTTTTATATCTGAGATACAATCTTGCTAAGTTTCCCAGTCACTGCCTGTGACTCCTGCTACTCAGTGAACTGCTTTCTATTCCAGTAATTTTGCCTTTGCTCTCATTTCTTAGAAATAGAACCATAAAGTATATACTCTCTTGTTTGTCTTCTTTCACTTGGCATAATGCTTTTGAGACCCATTTATATGCTTATACAAAATAGTAGTTTATTTTTTATGGTGAGTACCCTTTGTGGTATATATAACCACAATTTGTTATTTTTAATACTTGATATACATATAGGTTTTCAGAACTATTATGAATAAAGCTGCTTTGAACATTCAAATATAGATCCTTGTGTCAACATGTTTTCCTTTTTTTGTGGATTTGCCTGGTCTTCCGGTGATTTTTTGTATGTAACATCATATCAAATTTCCAAAAGTTTTCAGATTGGCTGTGCTGCTTTTCATGCTTGTAAACAGTGAGTTCTTACTGTTCTTTGATCACCAATATTCAGGAAGTTATTATTTTAAAACGTTTTAGCTGTTGTCTGGTGACCTTCTTGTCAGTTTGTTTGCATTTCTTTTCTAACAGTGTTGAACCTCTTTGAATATGTTTTTTAGCCATTCATAAATCTCTGATGGCCAGGCCTGATGGCACATACCTGTAACTTTAGCATTTTAAGAGGCTTAGACTAAATCAGGAGGATTACAAGTTCAAGCCCAGCCTGAGCAACTTAGTGAGACTCTGTCTCAAAACAAAAAAAATAAAGTAAAATAAAAAGGGCCGAGGATGTAGATCATTGTGAAATTCCTGGGTTCAGTGTCCAATATAGGTAAAAAACAAAACAAAACTCTTAATGAAGGACTGGACCAAATATTCAGATTGCTTTATTCATAGTTTTTTGGGTTTTGTATTATTGAGTTGAAGTTCAGACTTCGTGAAGTATATGTTTTGCATTCTTTTTCTGTCTCTGGCTTGCTTTTTTACATTTTCAACTTTTACTTTTTACATACTTGTTTTCATTGACTGGTCATAATTTTTCAAAGTTTTGGGGCAGACCATACTGTTTCCATACATATATATGCTGTGTAATGATGAAATCAGGGTAATTAGCATTTCTATCATCTCAAACTTTTGTCTGTCATTATGATAAAACACTGAAAATCCTATTTAGCTATTTTGATGTATAGTTTGGGTTTTTTTTTTTTTTTACATTAGCAGGGATTAAACCCCGAGAGCCTTGAGCAACATCACCAGAACTCTCTATTTTTTAATTTGAGATAGGTCTTGCTAAGTTCTCCAGGCTGGGCTCACACTTGCAGACTTCCTGCCTCAGCCTCCCACAGTACTGGGGTCATGGGTTTGCACCAAACACCTGCCTGCAATACACTATTATTGATTGTAATCACTCCATTATACAACAGAATTCCCAAACTTACTCTTCCTGTCCATCTGAAAATTTCTGCCTCTTGACCAACCTCTCCTCAGCCCTTGCCATGCCTTCTCCAGCCTGTGGGAACCATTATTCTCCTCTCAAATTCTATCAAATTGATTTTTTTTTTTTTCGATTCCTTGTATACAGAGTTTTGTTTTGTTTTGGTACCAGAAATTGAACTCATGACCTCAGGCTTGCCAGGCAGGTGTTATGCCCTAAGCTAAATCCCCGGCCCTTCGGTGGATACGTGGGTGTGGTATTTTTCTTCCTTCACATGGTTTATTTCACTTAGCATGTTGTTGCAAGTAGTACAGCTTCATCTCTCTATGGCTTAGCATCCCATTGTGTCTGTAAACTGCACTTTCTTCATCTATCCATCTGTTGATGCACACTTAGTTCGATTCCATAAATTGGCTGTGATGAAGAGTGCTGCAGTAAACATGGGAGTGCAGGGGTCTCTTCACCATACTGATTTCATTTCCTTTGCTTAAATACCAACTAATGGGATTGCTGAGTCACATGGTAGTTTTACTTTTTATTTTGGAGGGAACTTCCATACTGTTTTCCACAATGGCTGTACTAATTTATATTCCTTCCAAGCGTGGACAAAGCCTCCCTTTTCTCCATATTCTCACCAACACTATCTTTTGGCTAGTTAGTAATAGTCATCCTAAGAGGTGTGACATTGCATGTGGTTTTAATTTTCATTTCCCTGAAGACTAGAGATGTTGAGCAAATATGTGTGTGTCAAATACCACACAGTAGGTAATCTTGTGAGTCTTTTCAGAGATTTCTGGTCAGGCCTTCCTTTTTAATTGATTTGTATCCTTACTGTGAGGTTGTTTGAGCGTCTTAGGTATTTTGGATGTCACTCCTTTCTCGGATGCATAGTTTGCAAATATTTTCTACCACTCTGTAGTTTGTGTTCTTTCATATTGCTTATAGACTGTACAGAAGCTTGATATAATTCAGTGTCTATGCTTTTTCTTTTACGTTCTTTTATGGTACCAGGGATTGCACTAATCTACATCCCCATACCTTTCATTAATTTTTTATTTTGAGTCAGGGTCTTATGAAGTCATTTTCATAGGCTTGGCTTGAACTTGAGATCCTTCTGTCTCAGCCACCCAGAGTGTTAGGATTACAGGTGTATGCCACCATCCCTGGCTTTCTGTTGTTGTTTTACTTTTGGAGTCTTATGCAAAAATTCTTGCCCAGTCCAATGTCACAAAGTCTTTCCCTTGTTCTAGTAATATTGTAGCTGCAGGTCTTGTATTTAAGACTTTAGTCCATTTTGAGTTGATTTTGAAATATTTTAAGAGATTGGGTTTTACTTTCACTCTTCTACATAAGAATATCTAGTTTTTCTCACATCATTTACTAAAGAGGCTTATCATTACCCATTGTGTACCTTGTCACCTTTGTTGAAAATCAGTTGGCTATGGATGCATGGATTTATTCCTGGGCTCTCTATTCTGTTCCATTGGTCTGTGTGCTTATTTTTATGCCAGTACCTTGTTGATTTGATCATTACAGCTTGGTAGGATATTTTGAGGTCAAATATCACAGTATTTCCAGCTTTGTCAGTTTTGCTCAAAATTGCTTTGGCTATTTAAGATATTTGTGGTTCCATATGAAAGTTTAGATTTTTTTCAATTTCTGTGGAGAATGTCATTGGTAACTGTAGATGGGGTTTGCTGTGAATCTATAGATTGCGCTTGTTACTATGGATGTTTTCATAATATGAATTCTCATCTATGAGCACAGAAGGTCTTTACATTTATTTGTGTTCTATTTAATTTCTTTGACCAGTATTTTATAGCTTTCATTATAGAGCTTTTTCACTTTTTTGATTAAATTTATTCCTAGATTTTTTTGTAAGTATTATGAATAGGATCACCTTCTTGATTTTTCAAATAATTCACTATTGAATTTATTCAGATATTCAAATAAATATTCATTTATTCAAATAAACACACATACCACTGATTTTGTATCCTGTAAATTTGCTGAATTTGTTTATCAATTCTAATAGTTTTTTCATGAAGTCTTTGGGGCTTTTATTTTTTTATTTTGTTCTTGTTTTTTGTGGTACCAGTAATCAAACTCAGGACCTTGTGCTTGCCAGGTAGGTGCTTATGCCTCTAAGCTATATCCCCAGCCCCTGGGGTTTTTAATATAGAAGGGGCAATCAAAACATAAGGTGAATATTTAATTTTTTTAACATTTATTACAGTAAAAGACACATTGCCATAAATCTACCTCCAAATATTTTCCTTTTCTTTGAACTATCTTATCCATCGTTTTTAGCACTGTGTGAAGCAATTCTGGAAATCCTCTTTTATGAGTTTATGAGGTTCAGTTAAAAAGTATGGCAAATGCTGTTGCCAAGTGCTATCCAATGCAAAGGCCAGCACATAAAAGCATTGTGGTATTTTTATCCACCTTGTTTACCTCATCTCACAACATGTGACTTTTGGCTCTTCCCCAAAATCAAAATGACCATGACTGGTAAATGTTTTCAATTGATTCTAGACAGTTGAGGCAGGCTGGACAGTGCAATTTAAGGCATTCACAAAGGGGGACTTCCAGAACTGCTTCAGAAATGGCAAGAATGATAAGATAAGTGTGTTCAAAACAAGGGGAAATATTTTGAGGGAGATTAATAATGAGTGTCTTTTACTGCACTATTTTTTTAAATTTAAATATTTGCATGCCCTTTATTACCTTGCCAAACTGCTCTAATCAAAACTTCTACTACTGTATTGAACAGAAGTTGCAAGAGTGGGCAACTTTATCTTATCTCCCCATTCACAAAGTTGTTTTCATTTTATCCTTCTTTTCTCATTTTTTTCTTCCCCTTTTTTCCTTTGCCCCTGTGCCCGACCTAGTTTCCTTTTCCTTTTGAAGAGTTTCTTCCTATTTCACAATATCTATTATACATTACTGTTCTTACTTACATTTTAAGTTTCTCACACCAGAGAGATAATGCAGTATTTACACATGTATGTCCAACTTATTTCACTTATGATTATGGTCTCAGGGTCCACCTATTTAGCTATAATTATCTCAATTTTATCTTTCTTTATGGCTGAGTAATACTCTATTATATATTTAAAAAACACATCTTTTTTATCCATTCATTGATTGATGAGCATTTGGGTTGTTTCCAAGGTTTAGGCTATTGCAAACTGTGCCACTGTAAACATGGGTGCACATATATCGCTGTAGTACAGTGGTTTTTTTTTAATTCTTCCAGGAAGATACCCAGAGGGGGAAAGCTTTGGTCAAATGGGACGTCTAATCCTAGCTTTTTGAGGAAT